GCTACAGCAGATCTAAATTTCAAGTTAGAATTATAAAAATTGCCTCAGCTCAGCAGAGGCAAAGATAATCTATGAAATGTGATCCAAGTTATACACTGATGTTAGAACATCTCTATAATCTGTTCACAAATTCTGCACTCCTGCTACTGATTCGAAACCGCTTTGTGGTGCCAAAAATCATGAGCTGATTCTCTGTCCTACTTTTCAGAACTGAAGGCAGTGATGAAAATAGAAAGAATCAATTCCCTTTCACTCCTGCAATGCTGAAAAGCTTCAGGCAGCCCCAGAAGCAAGCACCGAGGCTGTCAGAGGAGCAAATGCTCCTGCTGGCTGAGTGCCTTGATGGCTCTTCTGGAGAGCTGTGGCCCTCAGGCAGGAGTCCAGAGAAAACAAAGAAGTTTTGCACTGTGGACCACTTTCAACTGGGAATGTCTAGGATGCCATATCCAGAGTGTCTCACGGTTGGGATGCTTTCCTGAGAAGCTAGAAGATGTAGATTTGACTTCTGCAGACTGAACAGGATCTGGAAGTCAACATCTGTCGTTTCTGGGCACATACTCTGAAATTTTGGCTGTTACTTATAACTGAGATTAGATTTCCCATGCTCACCCATCTGTTTCATTCCTCAGAATAACAGGAGCTATAGAGGGTTACACCAAAGATCCCAGCAGACCAGTACGCTGTCTCTGACAGGACCAAAGCAGATGCCCAGGGGAGAAGACAAAACAGAGGGCAAGCATATGGTGCTTCCCCAAGGATCAGCTGTGCAATTTTTCCAGATTGTACATCACAGCTCAAGGAATTTGAATTACTGCACGGACTAATAGAGCATGATTCCCCTCATCTCATGTTGTTCTCCTTGGCAAGCACCACCCACGTTTACAATTTTCTTCCCCATCAGGTAATATTTTCTCACAATGCATTCCAGAGTTGGAACTGTTTCAGGATCATCTACAAACACATCATGACTGCTGAAAAGTATGCAGGATGAAGTCCCTCCACTAACTCCCAGAATTAAAGGGTTCTTCACCCTTGACAGGAAATAGTAAAGCTCAAGGGTAACTAATCAAAAGGGTAATTCAATCTCAGGAACTGCCCGGTTCTTGGCTGTTAAGATACACCCTATTTAGGCTCTACGGAAGCTGCCAAGAGGAAGACCACAACAAAAGCAATCCTACCTGGTGTGGGATTCCTGTGTGAACTAAGAGAGCACTTCACCTGACTCAGGGGACAGGCACCAATGTTTCATCACTATTCCACCAAGTCAGACTCAGGTAAGCTTAATCTTACCAGTCAGTAGGGGAACAGGTATGATAGAGGCAGAGTTGTCTTTTTTTTTTTCCCTATAAGATGGTTTTCTGATTTGCAGAGGACTAAGTGAAATCCTCCACCACGCTGCTGAATCACAAGCTAGCTCTTGCTACCTAGTCAATTATTTCAGAACTATTGCACCTGCTATCCCTTCATTACTTTATCACCTCTGGTTGGATGGGGAAAACAATATCATAAATCCTGTGTATAAATCACTCTACTAGAATAACAGGAGAGAAAATAGGACAGAGAGAATTCACTTGGCCCACCCCTCTGCTGAGCACTAAGCACTACCTCAAACATAATTTTTTAAGAGGTTATAAAAACAAGTAACAATCTTTTAGGCTTTCTAGGGAGTAGAATCAGCTTTTTCTTAACATCCAGCTGCTGCAATTTCAGCACCCTACCATTTGCTCTCTTCCAATACGGCGAGTAGCTTACGACCTTTCTATGAGAAGACAACTTTATACACCTGAAAATAGCTACCATGTCTTCCCTTAACCTTTCACAGTCTTTTTGCCTTTATAGGTCAACATTTCTAAACACCAGTCAGCTGCCTTTGTGTCCTCTAGACTCTCTTTGTTCGGTCTGCACTCTCCTTCAAATGTGCTGCTGCCACAGGCTGGTACTGAAGCTTTTCCAGTACGTGATTTCTTCACGTGCTGGTTTTGGCTGGGGCAGAGTTACTTTTCTTCACAGTAGCTGGTACGGGGCTGTGGTTTGGATTTGTGACCCAAACAGTGCTGATAACCCAGGGATGTTTTCGTTACTGCTGAGCAGGGCTTGCACAGAGCCAAGGCCTTTTCTGCTCCTCACCCCACCCCACCAGCGAGGAGGCTGGGGGGGGCACAAGGAGTTGGGAGGGGACACAGCCGGGACAGCTGACCCCAGTGACCCCAGGGATATCCCATACCGTATGACATCATGCTCAGTGTATACAGCTGGAGGAAGAAGAAGGAAGGGGGGGATGTTGGGAGTGATGGCGTTTGTCTGTCCAAGTCACCGTTAGGCGCGATGGAGCCCTGCTGTCCTGGAGATGGCTGAACCCCTGCCTGCCCATGGGCAGTGGGGAATGAATTCCTTGGTTTGCTTTGCTTGTGTGCGTGGCTTTTGATTTTATTTTTCCTTACCTTTACCTCAACACACAAGTTTTCTCAATTTTACCCTTCCGATTCTCTCCCCTGTCCCACTGCAGGGGGGTGCTGAGTTGCCAGCTGGGGTTAAACTCCAACATTTCATACCAAAAAGCATTCTGTTAACATAGTTATTTTTTTTGCAACTGCATTACACTGTTCAGGCATGGTCAGCTTTTCATCTTCTAATGCCTGGATTATTTTTCTAAGAAACTGCTACCCAGACTGTTTTCTCTGTATGTAATTTATTAGATCCCAGTTCAAAAAACTCTCCAGTACACTCCTTTAACTTTGAAGCTGACTTTGTACTTTCTACTTGACTTCAAACTTGCTGCCCTATTGTTTTCCTTCAGCACTTCAATTCCCTCTCACTTCTGTCCTTCCTCTCTTATCTGATAAGCCTAACAGACAAAAGGAAAAGACACAAGAACTTTGAGATGATATAAAAAAATACTTTATCTTAGGTTCTTAAGACAGTGTGAAGGCATTAACTGCATAAATCACCTCCTTAAAGTCTATCTTACACTCCTCTTTCTATTTCTAATGCTTGTTCTAAAATAATCCAACAGTAAAAATGTAAGATCTCACATGTTTGATACCAGTTTAACATCTATTTAGAATTTGTAGATCTCAAACAGCAGCAAGAATGTGTTTTTCTAACAACGTTTTTCGCAACACACTTCCTTAAAAGATCTATTTTAGCATTTTGTTTCATTGCAACTAATTAGCCAAACTATATGCAAGTCTAGAGAAAACTAATTTCTTATTCAAAAAGGTCAGGAATTTGAGGCTGATAGGCTGCACTCTTTAGACATGGGAAGACATTTGAATTTTTTACAAATAAATGTTTTGAATCATACTATAAATGTAACACTCAAGCTCAACTTTAACTGTGAAGCAAAAGGATTCACATCTCCACTGAGAGCACTCTTTAGGGGAAAACAATTCTGCCAACTGATATAATAGCAAAAGGGAAGAAAGAGAGAAGAGTCACTGAAATCAATTATTGCCCCAGGCAAAAAGGCAGAATTAGAACACAGCCTTTCCAAAGATCAGCATTTGAGGCATTACTAAATGCTAAATGTTGAGGCGAGGTTGGACGGGGCTTTGAGCAGCCTGGTCTAGTGGAAGATGTCCCTACCCATCGCAGGGGTTTGGAACTAGGTGATCTTTAAGGTCTCTTCCAAGCAAACCATTCTATGATACTAGTAATTTACAGTTTAAACATCTACTAGTAACATTTAAAATCATCCACTATGTAAGAGGAAAAGTGGTTTTACATTCCACCTGGCTCATTGCCTCACCTCTTGATCAGTCACAGGGAGAGTGATATTTAAAAGGGCAGCTCAAGACAGGATGCCATGCTGTCGGTACCCAGTTTGTGGTGAGTTATGTACAGCAGTTGCACACTGCTACCAGTTCATAAATCTGGTCAGGAAATCTGTTACATTAAACAGAGAAGAACAGACTCGGAGGACTATTCAAGAGAGATCCAGAGAACAGGATTGCCTTAACAACCCACAACAGAAGTTCAGAAACACTTAAGCAAAAATAATGCTTACAGGGAAACCAGGATGATTATTTTTCATTGGCATAACTTCTCAACACTTACTGCAATGACAAAATTATCCTAGCAATAATACAGACAAAATCCCACAGTTTTTGTAACATGAGACTGCATGAATACAGGCTTTATATTACACAGTTAAAAAAAAAATAATCAAAAAAGTTATTACAGGTCCTAGAAAAGCAAAAGAATACAAGTATTTTAATTAGGTTTATTACTTTTGCAGGTTTTTTCAAGAAATCTGGTAAAATAAGTATATGTCTTAAAGACAGCAAACAGAAAAATCAGAAATAATTTGAAGTAACTGCATTAAAGAATTGCCTTTAAGGCTACTGCAATGATTTAGTGCTTAGTATAATGTCCCTGATGCTCTTAGGGACAAAAGAATTAAATTTCAAGTCCGTCAGTCTCCAGATTTGCAAGAGAGAGGTATAATGTCAAGTGAATTAAAGAAGATGGATGAGTTGATAGATTCAAAAGGGAGCAATCACAGTCTTCAGGACACAGACAGATCTGGCAGTGCAGAATGAGGACTGACAGCCTAAAATGCAAGGAAGAAGGAAAGCAACCCCCAAACATCAATGCTCTGGAAATAAAGGGACATATAACCAAGTGCTGACTTTGAGTCCCAGTGAGCAAGACAAATGAATAACTACATTTTAAAGTGATTTTAGAAGTCAAACTTTCATTTACTACCAATAGCACTAAGCAATTTCCACTTTGTTAAATATGTATGTCCTGCATTTAGCATGAACTTCCATAAACACAAAACAACCCTGCAACAAAACATGCTAAAACTGATTAGAAGATAAAAGAGAAGCGAAGCTGGCAAAAGTCTGGTATAGATCAGATCAGGCAGACAAAGAGAACAACATATTTTCTCAGTATGCATCAATCATACAAAAAACCCAGAGACTTGGTGCTAACGGAGAGTTTTATCTTCTCAGACATCTTTTGAGATAGACAGAAAATACTTCTGATTTTCTTACCTGGGGAAATTTGCGTTTAATAGACGTCAGTGCTCCCTCTGGGAGTTTGGCAAGTTCTGAATCTCTGACGGCATGTACTGTTGTGGCTCTAGGTTGATGGGTTAATGCCTCTACCTGAAAGAGTACATAGCCAAAACATTAAACAGAATTCACAACCTGTTGCAAAAATGAAATGTCAGGATGAAGAAACTGAACAATTCCCAAGAATCGGACTGTCATGTTTGTTGCTCACACATTCAAAACAGAACGCTATCTTCCCCCAGGGGCGCTTACAGAGGGAGCTTACCAAAGGTGCATTCATCTGCAACAACTATTAGCATCTATTTTACCCGAACGTCTCGGGCACATGCTCTGCTATCGGACAGTTGCAGTTTTTCACAGAACTAGAACCCATAGCACCGGACAGACAGTATTATACGAGAAAGTTCTGTTTGAGCTTTTGCAAGCTCTCACATACAGCGTATCTCCAGAGTGAGGCTGAGACCTGCCAGAACAAGGCGCACAACGAACTCACCATCACAACAACACTTCTGTCTTTTAATCCATCATTTTTAATTGTGATAAAGCCATCTAAGAGACAGGAAAACCTCACTTCTCTACTGCTCTTTCTTTTTTCTTTCCTCAATGCCACCCTGAAATACTTTCATTTTACTTTAGGAAGCTGAATATCAACAACATTGAAATAATCAAGAGTTCCTAAAAATTAAAGAAACAGATGAGGAGCAAATCAGCACATTTTGGCCAGAAGTGAGCTTTGCTTTTCTAGTTGGGTTCGGGTTTTGTTGTGTTTTGTTTTGTTTGTTTTTTACATATGCATGTGTATCTGTGCTAAGTAAACAGGAAAACATGTGACAGTACGCACCTTCCTGAATAGCACCCAATTATTTCACCTAGAAACATTTATCTTATTGAGAGTAGAAGTTTAAAGAAGAAAATGATCACGCAATGAAAATTGATATGGAGATATTCTCCTTTATGGGGAGAACCTGACACAATATAAACAAAGCCAGGTTCTAAAAGCCCACTCTGCAAAACGCAGCTGTTCCCCGAATCCCCAACTGCAGCATCTGCAGAGCCCCAGACCCACCACCAGCTCTTGTTTTGTTATGAAATGCAGAAATCAAATTCCCTGGTGAAATATCTTCACATGCTTAATGAGACAGCCTGCTAGGTGAGAAGGCGTCATTCAGAGCTACAACATTTAATTGCTTAGAAACAGCCTGGTGCTCAGTTTTGCAAGTTTTAGCAACAGGCAATGTTTACTGGGTTTAAAATCCATAGATCAGTCATTTTGAAAAAAAAAAAAAAAATGGTTGTCACTGTAGTAGCTGTAATTACTAAGGTTAAAACACAAACAAAAAATTCCTCACTCTAACTGCAATTCCTGGACACTTAGGATAAAAGTGAATATGACTTTTCCTTTTAAGTTTTCCAGTAGAAAAAGAAACAAATAATATATAAGCTTATAACTGTTTGGTTTGTTTGGGGGTTGAGGGGTTTGATGGAGTTTTTTGTTTGTTTGATTTTTGGCTTTTTCAGAATTTGTTCCAAACCCTATGTTTACAGCAAACTCCAACACCAGCAATGCTTTCAGTATCGAACTAGGGGCTCAGACAGACAAAAAGTTAACGCAATGTATACAACGCCATGTACCATGGCTGAGCTGTGCCAGGTGCCCAGGCATGTACTTCTGCCCACGGTACAAGAAAATTAAATTTAAAACACGCAACTCCGTGACCCCACTTCCAACAAGAGTGCTTTCTTGGAAGACCACATGTGCTCAAAATGGACAATTCAGATAGCCAGAACATCTAGATCTCAAAAACTTGTGATTAGTCCAGAAAGCTGAGATCAGCCTGCTAATATTAACTCTAGCTAGTGCAGAACAGTTCAATCAACCTCAATTGCTATGCATGAAAAACTGCACAAGTAAATTTAAAGTAATGACATTTTGCAAGACCTAGCCTTTGTTTTTTGTTCAGATGCCAGGGATGTTTTGTTATGTAATCACATTTTAAACTAATTATACAGAAGGGGAAAAAAAGGTCATGCCATCGTTGTACATACATTTACGGAGAAACAAGTCTCCTTTAGGTTCCCCAAGTGGTTGTATAACTTCTTCTGTTTTATCTCTCTTCTCTTTTACCAGCTTTTTATCACAGTTTTTGGCTCTGTAATTTAGCTTCCTTAACCCGAAAGCACGTTAAGACTTCCAATTGTTAAAATAAAATCTTTCCTCTCAGCCAGTCATCACCCAATTGGTTTAATTGGTATAAAGAAAAAAAAACCACTCAAACTGTCTAACATCCTTTTCCACTCTTTCTGTGATATATGAGTGCATAAAATTAACCGTGCTCCAAAGGGCTCACAAGTCTTTCAGAAAATATGAGATTTGCAAAAAAGGGAATTAAATTTTAACTTTAAAACAAAGCCTCAGGGTTGTTTTTTTTTCTCCAAACTGTGACTTTGTCTTTTCGAATTGTTCCCTAGGCAGATCAGAGGGGAGATGGGGACCTTTTTCAGACCTCCTTCACAAGGAGCTGTTCAAATCTGTGGAGCAAGTGGCATTTGCAACACCACCAGTGTTACGGACCCCGGCAATTGCGGGGAATTTCTTTAGTGCAATTCCCAACTGACTACAGAAACTGGATCTTATACTACTCTTACATACAGGTACTATGTAAGTCTTGTCAACAGCTTTGATATTTTCATTTAAATACATCCTGGTATTCTAGCATGGAAAATATCCGGGTCCCAGACAGTGTACACCAAGAAATTAAAATTTTGCTTCCCCTTGGATATTATCACCTCAGTTCCTAATCTCTATTTTCATTAGTTATTCCAAACTATTAATAAAATACTTCCTCTTCACTGGAAGTGAGAGGGTTCTCATTCAACATTTGCACCATCTGTAGGATTATTCTCAATCTTCACTACATTCTCACCTCTCTCCTCTTCACACCCTGTGGTTATAAAGCCTTCTTTGCACTAATTTTAGATTTTCAGCACATGGAATCTGTCAAACCAAATAGGTATGTGGCTATTCTCACCTTTTTTGGAGATCAAAACTATATTCTAACATTGAGTTGTAGTTCTCCCCTGTAAATGATACCTTTCTTCTTTCTATTTATTCTTAATAAACCGTTTGAGATGTCATCTATTCAGAGTTTTTTTCTTCTTGCTTAGACAAAAAAGAAGTTTCATGCAACATGAGTACTTAAAATCATTTCTGTCTTAAGCCACATTCAAATCCTTGGGCTACTCTGCCCAGTGAGCCTTTTGAACACATTTTCTTATTTTTCCAGGTTTGTAAATAGTACAAGACTTAGAGATCTAGCTTGAACTTTCATATGAGTAAAATTGATATGCGATCAGAAGATCCACCCCATAAGATTATTTCCTTGGTCATAAAAAAGAAATTAAACATTTTGACAACCCACCACAGCTGCAGCAAACAACACAAAGACACTCCTATAACAACATTAATAAATAAGTGTTTCAAGAAATAGTATTATTATTATCTTCCAAATCTTATTCAGCCTGACTCGGGGAGGAGTATATATTTGTACATATAATCACTTAAGGCTCTCTTTTGAGCTCCTTCCTGGACTACCATTATCATCATTTACCCATGCCAGCGCGAACACAGTTACAACATTTGCTCCAGTACAAGAAAG